AGGAAAATTGGAAGTTGTCAAAAATGAAATGGAATGCTTGAAAATTGATATCCTAGGCGTTAGTGAGCTAAAATGGACTGGTATTGGCCATTTTGAATTGGCCAATCATATGGTCTACTATACCTGGAATAAGAAATTGAAGAGGAATGGCATCACATTCATTGTCAAAAAAAATTTTCAAAATCTGTCCTAAAATACAATGCTTTCAGTATAACAATAGTTTTTGAAAAGAAGGATATGAATTTTGGGAAGACTGAAATTTTAAATGGAGTGGTAAAGAAAGAATATAAGGAAGTAAACTATGTGGTTATCTGGGGAAAGAGGATTCCATGCAGAAGAATTGTGCCTATCTGTGTGAAAAAGCTCAAGTAAATATGGCTGGAATGGAGTGAGAAAGCAGTAGAAGGTGTAGTTAGTAAATGATAGGGAAGGGGATAGGGTAGGGCGTCATATAGGGTCTTGGACGATATAAGGACTTTTGCTTTTACTATGAGTGTGAAGTACATGTGCTTATGTCCATTCTTGTGATCACTATTCTGTTGCATTGGTCTATGTACCAATTATTGCATGGATCAGTAGTTTATTTTTACTGGAATGTATTAATGTCCCTAGGTGGCACAAATGGTTTGTTCTTGACTGCAAACCTAAAGGCTGGAGGTTTGAACCCACCCAGTGATACCGTGGAAGATAGGCCTGTTGATCTACATTTGTTAAGATTACAGCCAAGAAAAGATTATTGGAGCAGTTCTACTCTGTAACACATGGGATTGCCATGAGTCAGAAGCACCTCGAAGGCAACCAACAAAAACAACATTCTATTGTATGAATATACCACAATTTGTCCATTCACTCTCTTGTTAACAGGCATTTTGATTGTTCCCAGATTTTGGCTATAACAAATAAAATTACTCTGAATGAGCTTGCTCTAATTTCTCTGAAGTAAAAGCCAGTACGTAAAATTGATGGCTCATAGAGTAGATGAATGTCTAACTTTATAAGAGACTATGAAACATTTTTCCAAAAGGATTGTACAATTTTGGATTGTACAATTTTACAATCCTTTTTACAATATTTTACAATATATGAGAGTTCCAGTTGTTCTACATCCTTGCTAGTATTCAGTGTTGAGATTCTGTTTAAATTTTAACTATTGATGCTTAGTTACTGGGTATTTAATATAATACCCATTGCCATTGAGTTGATTCTGACTCGTAGCAACCCTATAGGACAGAGTAGAACTGCCCCATAGGGTTTCCAAGGCTGTAATTTTTATAGTAGAGGTCGCTATGAGGCGGAATCAACTCTGCGGCAATGGGTTTGTTTTTTGGTTAATCTTTACAGAAGCAGGCTGCCACGTCTTTCTCCTGTAGAGTGGCTGGCGAGTTCAAACCACAGACCTTTCCATTAGCAGCCAACCGCTTTAACCACTCAGTCACCAGGGCTCCTTAACACTTCAACATAATGAAAACAAAAATCCTCACAATTGGAGCAATAAGCAATAAGAAAATATTGAAGTTGTTAAGGATTTCGTTTTACTTGGATCCACAATCAACACCCATAGAAGCAGCAGTCAAGAAATCAAATGACCTATTGCATTGGGCAAATATGCTGCATAAGACCTCTTTAAATTGTTAAAAAGTAAAGATGTTACTTTGAGGACTAAAGTTTGCCTGACCCAACCCATGGTATTTTCAATCACCCCAGTGAAAGCTGGACAATGAATAAGGGACACAGAAGAAGAATTGATGTATTTGAATCAGGTGTTGGTGAAGAATTATCGTGTTGGTGAAGAATACCGAATATACCATGGACTGCCAGAAGAAGGAACAAATCTGCTTGGAAGAAGTACAGCGGGATGCTCCTTAGAAACAAGGATGGAGAGACTTCGTCTTCCGTACTTTGGACATGTCAGAAGGGACCAGTCCCTTCACCCGTCCCTGGAGAAGGGCAGCATGCTTGGTAAAGTAGAGAGTCAGCGAAAAAGAGGAAGATCCTCAACTAGACGGACTGACATGGTGGCTGCATCAATGGGCTCAAATATAGCAACAATTGTGAGGATGGCTCAGGTTTGGGTAGCATTTCATTCTGTTGTACATAACGATGCTATGAGTTGGAACTGACTGGCCAGCACCTGACAACAACACACTTAATATAATCTTGTTGTAATTTTAATTACATTTACCTGAGCATTAATGACGTTATGCACTTTTTTCATATACTTATTTGCCATTTGTATGTCATTCTTTGTGAATTGTCCAAATCTTTTTGCTCATCTTTTTTTAATAATTGAATTGTCATAGCTTCTTATATATCCTTAGTACAACTGATTTGTCAGATATATGTATTACAGAGGGTTTTTCATTTTTTTCCTCCAGTCTCTGGTGTTCTTCATTTTCTTAATGGCATCTCCATACAAGCAGATTTTTGTTTTTGTTATTGTTTTTGGTAAGGAAGTGTAGTTCATCAATTTTTTTTTCTTATGTGGTTTACATCTTCTGTGTGCCTAGCCAAAGTTGCGCACTTATTCTCCTGTGTTTACTCCTAGAAATTTTATATTTTAGCATTTACATTTAAATTTCTTGACATCTTAACAATATTAAGTCTTCCAGTCCTTGAACATGAAATATCCTTCCATTTGTTGAGGTCTTCTTCAATTTCTTTTCTTTTAATAATGTTCCATAGTTTTCAGTGTATAAGTCTTTCACCTCCTTGATTAAATTATTCCTAGGTATTTTTCATTTTTGATATTATTGTAAATGAAATTGTTTCCTTGTTTTCCTTTTCAAATGTTCATTGCTGATGTATAGAAACATGACTGATCTTTACATAGTGACCTTGTACCTTGCCACCTTGCTGAATTCATTTATTAACTCTAATAGATTTCTTGTGGAATATTTTGAGTGGTCTATGTATAGGCTCATGCAATCTGTCAAAACGGATAGTTTTTACTTTCTTCTTCTCTGTTTCAATACTTTTTTTTTCCTTGCCTGTTTGCTCTGGCTAAGACTTCTAGTACAATGTTGAATAGCAGTGGTGAGAGCAAGCATCCTTGCCCATTCCTGATCTTAAGGAAAATGCTCTGTCCTTCTCCGTTGAGTAGGATGTGAGCTGTGGGTTATTCATAAATGCCCTTTATCATATTGAGGAATTGCCCTTTTATTCCTAGCTTGTTGAGTGTTTCTCATTGAGTGTGTTTGTTTTTCTCTCATGGCTAATGATGTTGAGAATCTTTACGGGTACTAATTCAATATTTGTATATCTTATTTGGAGAAAAGTCTATTCAAATTACTTGCCCATTTTTTAATTGCATTGTCTTTTTAACTGTTAAGTTGTAAGAGTTTGTTATGTATTCTAAATACTAGTCTCAGCAAATCTATGATTTGCAAATATTTTCTCCCATTCTGAGGGTTGTCTTTTCACTTTCTTGATAGCGTTCTTTGAAGCACCAAAGCTTTTAATTTTTTTTTAATTAGGGTCATTTTATTTTACTGAGAATTTTTATGTTCAGTGGATCAGTTAGTCTTACTCGGATTAAAGTCCAGGTTTTACTATTTTATAGTTTTTACCAGGTGAGGGTAACTCTGATATTCTGTTATGGTGAGAGCCCCAAATATCTGAAATTTAGGTTTTTAGTTTAGTTTATCTCATAAAAATTATAGAATCAGCTTTTTTAACTCTTCATATCAAACTAAGTTTTTGGTAAAAATTGCATTTACTCTAGAGACTAATTTGGAGAAATATGACATATTTAGAACTTCTCATCAATTAACATGATTTATTGGGTTTTCTTTAAGGTCTTTCAATAATGTTTAAATATTTAATCTATTACATTTTAAACTTCTTTTGGTCGATTTATTCCAAAGAACATTACTTTTGATGTTGTTATTTTTGCTTTATAAACAGTGTTTTTTTTTTTATATTTGTTATTTGTACATAGAAATGTAACTGATCCTAACCATGTGGTTAAACTTTCATTAATTATAAAAATTGTATATTGCTCTTAACCATGTTGCCAAGCTCTCTTATTAATTATAGTAATTTGTCTCTAAAGTATTTTGTGTTTATTTACAATTATATCATCTGCTGCTAATAACAGTTTTTTTTTATTTTTTCCAATTTTTATACTTTTTATTTTTTTATTTACTACATCTTACTGCACATTGTTGAATATAAGCAATGGACCTAATTGTGTGTCTCCAACCTCAGTATTGATATTACTATTTGCTATGAGAGCAATCTTGGCTTTTGACTTGACTTACAGCTAAATACTACAGGTTTGAGCTCTGATTTATTCTTTCTTTATTTTAATTTCTAGGGTTCCCTTACTTCCTACAAGTATAGCAATGCATTAACAAGTATGTTTTCTCTAGTATCTAGATGTTTTAGAGCTAGATATCAAGCTTTCCAGGTATCTGGCCTACAATACCTTCAGAAGTAGATAAGGGTCTATGAAAATAATTTTGATGGGAAGAACTCTTTTTCACAATAACCTTTTCTAACAAAATTATCTCTCCTTTAGGAATTGGTGTGCTTCTGTACATACCAGGCTATCTCCCACAGTGATATTGGACAACCAGGTCACTTATGTTCCAGATGGGAGAGGGTCGTGTGGATGGACCAGAGGATTCTGTCCTCAGAGGTAACGTTTCACAGAAATAGCCACCATATCTGGGCAGATATAGAGGAAGTCAGTCATCCCAGATACATATGTGTGGCAGGGTCAGAGGAGGGCCATCACAGTTGAACAAGATCTGTAACTTGAGCAAGTTAAAATGCAGATACTAATAATACTTGCCTCATATGTTTGCTTTCAGGATCAATTGGGAAAATACAATTATGTTCTTAGTCTAGTGCCTGGTACACTGTGAGTCTTCAATAATTGAGGACTCTCATGCTTGTTCCTATTTTTACTATTACTGTTATTGTTACTTTTATTCCATGATCTGATGAACAATCCTGTTCTTTCATTACTTATTCAATTCATACACAGTTTTGAAGATTTATTGACAATTTCCCTTTTATGCTAGGTCAAAGATGAATCCATGGCTTGGCTCATATCCTAAAATTCTTTGAAAGCCACCAATTGCAATTATGCTTGGAAAAGCAGCTAAGTGAGGTCTTTCTTCTTGTGTCTATTCTAATGACCCATGTTATTTGTTTTTTCATTTTAAAAAATCTATGTAATTGTCCTAAAATGTGGGGCTGAGTAATTGATAAATTTCTGGAATTCAAACAAAGTAGCTCAGCTCTGGGTGTTTTAGAACAGCCTGTAATAAAAACTATAATTGTTATTCAGGCCATGATGGTTAACATTATGCAAATTGTCATACAAATAACTCAGGCAATCAATCTGATGCATGGGCAGTCTGGAAGAGTGCACAGTAAGGATACATAAAATCAAGGTGTTTCTTAGTCCCTTGAGGAATAGCTTAGTTTCGTGGTCCAGAGAGCTAAGCACATCTTAGGGATTTGAAAGACCTGAGCTCCAGTTCTGCTTTCAGCATTTAGTCCCTTTGTGAAAATTTCCTCACCAACACGAGATACAAAGACTGCATTGTTAGTTCTTTAGTAATGAAAATATTTCCTCACTAACCCTCCGTAAGCCCTTCTGTGTTCAAGGTGAGCACTTCTCTCTCTCTCTTTTTAAACAAAACAGAAATATTTATCTTTACTCTCATCTCTTTCTACCTTAGCATAGGTAGAAATTTTAGTAATTATGCAATATCTGTCCCTTTTTCTTTTTAATTATGTCAGAGCAACATACACCAGAAATCCAGTTTGCCAAAGCAGAACACGGACGTCAACAATAATGTCACCAGCTGCTTGAGCTCACCCCTTGTTATTGTTGTTAGCTGCCTTGAGGTGGCCACAGACTCATGGTGACCCCATGCACAACAGGACAAAACACTGCCTGGTCCTGTGCCATCCCCATGTTCAGTTGCAGATCAGAACATTGTGGTATATAGGGCTTTCATTTGCTCATTTTTCAGCGCTAGATTGCCAGGCCTTTCTTCCTAGTCTGTGTGAGTCTAGAAATTCTGCTGAAACCTGTTCAGCATCATAGTGACACACAAGCTTCCACTGACAGATGTGTGGTGATTGCTCTTGAGGTACATTGGTAGGGAATTGATTCCAGGTCTCCTGCATGGATGGCAAGAATCTTATCACTGAACTACAAAGTCTAAAAGTCCCTTTCCAAACTGCCTTGCTTTCTACTTGGCTTTTGCTGTTGGACTGGAGATGGTAATTCACTGGACAGAGTAATTTATGGAATATTTATTTAAAAAAAAAGTAGGCAAATGATTAGCTTATTTTTAGGATGGAAAGAATCTTACCGCTTATTTTACAACTGAGGAAAAAACTCAGAAATATTGAGTTACTGTTGTGTTATAGCAGGAACTAAAGCCCAAGTCTCCTGATGCCCTGTCTGTGTTAATATTTATCCTCTACACCTTCAGGGTTTATCCATGAAATTGACTACTGTCATATCCACATGGTTGTATGCGACAATTCTAGGATAGTAACATGGGAGGCTGTGTATGGGCCTTCACAGCCTAGGTTTAACATCCCACAGCTACCACTTCTGATCATGGAAATTTGGGCAAGTTATTTCATATATCTATTCCTCCGTTTCCTCCTCAGTGGATGAGGATAATATAAATACCTTCCTCATAGTGATATGAGGAATTGATACGAGGATTAGGCAAGAAAATATGTACCAATTTCATAGGCCCATTTGATAAATATTAGCTAAATATTGAAGTCATGGGGGTAGGAATAATATGGTCAAAATTATATTTATGACTTACATTTACATACATAGAGACTATGATTTAGTACCATTCATTATTTGTATTGATTGTTATGTTGAAATGTTATGGTTTTTTCTCCCTTGTTTTTTTTCTCATAAATAATATCTTCTCATGTTAAATTTCTCTCTCTTACTTTCTCCCCTCTCTCTCTTTCTGAAAGAGAAATACTATATAACAGAAATAGTAGACATTATCATTTTAAAATGTGGGAAATGAGAAAGTGCAGATTGAAAATGTTAGCGGTTATCATAATTTTAATTCCAAAATCAAAAAACCAAACCTGTTGCTGTCAAGTGAATTCCAATTCCCACTCATAGTGACCCTATAGGACAGAGTAGAACTGCCCCAAAGTGTTTCCAAGGAGCAGCTGTTGGATTTGAACTGCCAACCTTTTTGGTTAACAGCCTGAGCCCTTAACCACTGTGCCACCAGTTGTTTGATGTTGATCTGGAGGGAAAATAGATATTTTTAATCAAAATAATATAGAAAATGATGGGAATTGAAATAGGCATAAATTAACCCCAGTATAATTATTTAAAAATAAAATTAAAATAAGTTTTAACATTGGTTTAACAAAAGGCATTATCAAGGGAAAAGCTATAGTATCTTTAGAAAATGTAATGACAGTTATCAATTTAAAATACCAAATAGTATAACACCTAATGATTTTTGTAATATATTTTAAAAAATCTAAGTTTGTCAATAATATAGAGATGAAGTTTATGATAATATAATAATAACAACTAACACTTACTGTGCTTATTATATTTTAGGCATTTTTCCAATCACTTTACATTTATTACCCTTACTGATAATTCAGTGTGAAACAAATAATCTATTTTCCCTCAATTTCCCTCTTCTCTAGATCTCAGAAAATATCAAATCATGTCTATAGGATAAAACATAAAATCGTTACTTCATTGGATTGGAAGTGCTGTCCTGGATTCAGTGGACCAAAATGTCAGCTAAAAGGTATAAAAATATTAGTTTTATAATAACGATTAGAAGCATAAAAATTCTGAAGAATAAGCAACTGATTCCAATGCAAAAAAGAATTGCATTTTCCCTTTTGAACTAAGGTAAATCCAAATGTAGTCAAACTACTGGGACTGTTAGTGTTTCAGAGCACCCTCATCACGTAGCAACTATAAAACAAACAAATATTGCCTTGGATTTGATTCTGACTCATGGCAACCCCATGTATTACAAAGTAGAACTACTCCTTGAGGTTTTCTTAGCTGTAATATTTATGGAAAAAATCACCAGGCCTTTCTTCTGCAGTTGCACTGGGTGGGTTCAAACCATCAACCTTTAGATTAGTGGTAGAGCACAAACCATGTGCCACCTAGGGAGCCATGACAGCAACAATAACCATCAAAAACCAAACCCACTGCCACAAGTCAATTCTAACTCATAGCGACCCCGTAGGGTTTCCAAGGCTGTAAATCTCTACAGAAGCAGACCACCACATCTTTCTCCCACAGAGCCACTGGTGGTTTCGAACTTCCGAAGATGATCGCTTTAACCACTGTGCCCCGGGGTCCAATAGCAGCTATAACCTGTTACCATTGAGTCAATTCCAACTCATAGCTGCCCGATAGGACGGAGTAAACAGCCCCATAGGGTTCCCAAGGAGCAACCGGTAGATTGGAACTGCCTATCTTTTGGTAAATAGCCATAGCTCTTAACCACTGTGCTACCAGGGCTCCGATAGCAACTATTTTAAAAAAAAAAAAAAAAAAACCAAACCTATTGCCGTCGAGTTGATTCCAACTCTTAGTGATCCTATGGGATAGAGCAGGAGTGGCTGGTGGTTTGAACTACCAACCTTTTGGTTAGCAGCCGGATGCTTACTCACTGCACCATCATCTCATAAGCTATCTTTTAACTTCTCCCTCCATTTTTATGTTGGTTTTATATGAGTAATTGGAGATCTAACTAAATATCTTACTTGTTCTTAATGATATGTTTTAAAGACATGTAGCAGAAATACTAATTATACATGTTTTAATCTATTATTATAATTGGTTTTTATGTTAAAATAAGACAACCCTCTAGTTTTATTCCAATTTAGTTATTTGAAATAAATATTTTAGTTATGAATGAAATTCAGTTCTAAAAAATACTCAAAATATGCCATGAATAATTTTGTCTTTTTTTTTAATCCAAATGGGGCCATTTTTTCAACTGAGATTTGAAGAATTTTCTGGTGGCAAAGCTCATCAAATGCATAGTAACCTGTTGTGGCCTAACATCTATGCCACTAATATTTTGCTTTTGGCTTTGAACAAATTTCCTTTGAAAAATAAGTTATAGCATCAGCATACATATTTTAAATGAATGAATATTACAAGAAAGGCCATTAGCAGTGGTAAGGAATTCAATCAACAGTGTAAGAGAGTGCGATTAAAAATTAATGTAAGTGTGGAGAAGCCATTATGATTCATATTAAGAAAAAGAAAGTCATAATACAAAAGCCCTAGGAACCTTGTAGTTTAGTCAGGGATATTATACATGGGTTTGCTAACTCACAGAATGTGAAATCAGTAGCCAAATTTTTCTGTAATGTTATTTGTTCTCTATCTGGATCTGGCCTGAATTTCAGAGACGTTATAAAATTTTGATACATTTTTATAGTACGAACATATACTGCATTTACAATCACGGAAATTAAACTTTTAAAGAAAATATCATCTATACTGAAAACATTCATAAATGACGTATTTTAGCATATTCTACAAAGATTGAAATATGGCCTTCAAAGGACTTCTGATTTCCACGAGATTGCATAGATGTATTCACAATGGTAAAACATGTTTATTATTTTTAGCTTGTACTTGGCTGATAGTTAAAAGTTCTGGACAGATGCAAACTTATAGTTCTAAGATCTAAGATTAGTTTTATATTTATGTTCTTATATGAAGGAGGACATCTTGGGAATATTAATTAATTCTATCATTGTTTCTTGAGGATTCAGTGTTTGTTTGAAGAATGCATTTCTAGAGATTTAGGGTGTCCATACACTCCCTACTGCACACAGAAACTAAATCTGCAGGTATGTGGCAGGAAACAAAGTCTGTATGTCAAAGACCATCATGGACTTCAGCTGATGAGGACTGCTGTCACTCCATGCTTTGTTCTTTTATACTTACTTATCCATGATTAACCACCCTGGGATTAACCACCATCCAAGCGTGAAATAGATAGAAGTCCATCACTGTTCACTAACACACAAGAAACAAAGACTAGTTGACAGTTTTGAATATCTGCTACCTACTGTCATTCCCTTTTTTGAAGGTGCTATATGAAATATTTAAGTTGAATCAAATAGTTTAGCTTTGGTTGTTTAATAACACTTTGTGTTCTAATCGGAAGCAACCTGTGGATATCTTAATACTTGATTAACAGATTACTGTCTTGACTCTCTGTTAACAAAAATGTTCAAGAATAGCTCTGACTCTGACCTTGTGTCAATCTAGTATAATTCAGGTCTCTGCTGATTAAGATGTTGTGGAGAGTTCTCCTTTCTGTTGAAACCTATGGAGATGATAATTTTCTCAGGCAGAGAGATCAGCCTTTTGTGTCATGTTCTTATACAATCAAAGTTAATATCATTGTGATTCCGAAAGAACCTCTTCTTGCTCCCTACAATACTCTGACCATCTTTGCACTTTTATTGCAGTATATAAAAGCTATTGATTTTTTTATGAGTGACAACGGATGCACTTGTAGTATCAAGAACTACTGAGTGTCTTTGTTCCATGCACTATTCTTCCTATCTCTTCTATCCTGGGATCTTTGGCACATTTTTCTCTTTTGATATCTATGCAGTTAAATGCCAAGCCCACTGCTCCACTTTTTTTTTTTTTTTTTAAACACATTTTATGTATGTACCATCAGTCTTTATTCTTATACTGGAATGAAAATTGTCAGGTTTCCTCTGACAACCATGTACACGTTGTCTCATATGACAAGCTGCCCCATGTCTGTCTGGCAAGAATAAACAGCTTCACTGATTTATTCTTTAGACCTCTTCCAAGCCCTCAACAGACTGAAGTAACCTGGTTATGTAACTACTATATGACAGTTACTTCAGTGCTAATCCCTCACAATATCAGAAGATTATTTAATTCATAGGAAATTGGTGAAATACTACATAAATTTGGCAAATACCAGCTTCCCCAACAAGTTTCCTCAATTTATATTATGAATCCCATAATATAAAATAAGGATTCCCCTTTAATTTTGATTGCAATAGAGAGGTTTTTTTTTTAATTATTATTGTGGTAAAATATATGTAACAAAATATTTGCCCTTACCACATTTTTGGATCTACAATTAAGTGACATCAATTTGTTCATTATATTATGCAACCATCACCACTATCCGTTTCCAAGTTTTTTCAAACAAAAACTCATTGCCCCCTGAGCAATGACTTCCACTTTTCCCTCCCCCCATCCCTGTTGCTGTGTTGTTGTTGGGTGCCGTCAAGTCAGTTCCGACTTACCGTGACCCTGTGTACAGCAGAATGAAACACTGTCCGGTCCCACGCCGAGCTCACAATCGTTGCCATGTTTGAGCTCATTGTTGCAGGCACTTTGTCAGTCCATTTTGTTGAAGGTCTTCCTCTTTTTCGCTGACCCTCTACCTTACCAAGCATGATGTCCTTCTCCAGAACAAGTCCCTCCTGACAACATGTCCAAAGAACATAAGACAAAGTCTCACCAACTTCACTTCTAAGGAGCAGTTTGGTTGTATTTCTTCCAGGACAGACTGGTTTGTTCTTCTGGCAGTCCATGGTATATTCAATATTCTTCGCCACTCCATAATTCAAAGGCATCAGTTCTTCTTCTGTCTTCCTTATTCATTGTCCTGCTTTCACATGCATATGAGGCAATTGAATATATCACACCTTGGGTCAAGTGTACTTGAGTCTTCAGAATGACATCTTCGTTTTTCAACACTTGAAAGAAGTCTTTTGCAGCAGATTTGCGCAATGTAATACGTCCCTGGTAACCAATAATCAGCTTTGGTCTCTATATATTTGTCAAATTCTAGATACTTCATCTAAGTGGAATCAAACAATATTTGTCCTTTGTGATTGACTTATTTCACTTAGCATGTTTTCAAGTTTCAGCCACATAGTAGAATGTATCAGGGCTTCATTTCTCTTTATGGATAAGTTATGTTCGATTGTGTGTCTACACCACATTTTGTTTATCCATGCATCTGTTGATAGACATTTAGGTTGTTTCTAGTTTTTGGCTACTATTAATAGTACTGCAGTGTGCATTGGGGTACAAGTATCTGCGTTTCTACACTTAGTTCTTTGGGGTTTATATCTAGGGATGGGATTGCTAGTCATATGGTAATTCTATATTTAACTTTTTTAATATACAAGAAATATTAATAGATCAGGAATAAAATGAAGTTGCTAGCAACTATATTCTGTTTTACTTCTTTGCTTCCAGTTCCTACTCATCTTTTTCTTTTACTCTTTCTCACTATATCTCTATAAATCAGCCCTAAACCTGTTAGGCAGGGCTATTGTGACCCAAATTTTGTTATACAAATCTTCCTATTATCTTATTCCACCGTATGCTGTTTATAATATTACTGATCCCCATCACATGTCCCTTAGCTACCACTCAGAAAACCAAGTATTGTTAATTATAGTTCTAAATTATGTTATTAAAAATATTATATATATCAAGAGGGAATTTTTTTTTTAACAAATCTAACTGAATAGTAATTTGTTGGAAAGAGAGGAGCACTAACTGCAATATCAAAGTAACGGTTCTGAGGTATTCTACATTTTTTAAAATATCCTTTTGATGGTCACAGAAAAAATAGGGCAGTCTGAAAGGAACTTAATCTTATGATGTATATCCAAGCCATCTTTTATAATATTAAGAGTAACACATTATTTAAATCTATTTTATAAAATTTGCAATAATGCATTTTTCCAGTAG